TTTTTTTTTTTTTTTGATCAGCACATTCTTAAGGAGAGCCAAGCCAGGAAACCACACTCTGATGAGTTTCACGTCCATGACAGGCAAATTGGTAAGCTTGGTATTAAATTGTTGCTAATTATTAATGCAACTAAGAACCACTTGGGGAAAAGCACACCCTGTCTCTTGAAGCCTGTCTTATAACCAATCACCGAATCAGGGTGAAGGGGGGTATCAGGACCCATGTGGGTGGATCACTAGCCCGACGCAGGCTTCTTAACAAAACCTTAATCAACTTATTTAAAAATAATAACAGCTGTCAGGAGTTGAGCACCTCCCGACGTTAGACAACATAACAACATAACAAGCATTAGATCGTTGGAGCCTGTTAACCCGGGGCAACCTCCTGTGATCGGTTTGCCCATTACACAAGATGATGGGATTCAGTGAGATGACCCAGCTTAAATGCGCGGCACAGTCGCTTAATAAAGGCCCAATAAATGTCACCAGATGAAAAAAATCATAGCTAAATGGCTCTTCGTCATTCTTTTATGATGGGTAATAATAATAGCAACTAACATAATTTGGCGTTCAATGTTAATTTAATGTCACTCATTTCTGAGACACAGCGGTTTTTCTTAAGTGCTTTACAAACATGAACCCGTTTCGTCTTTACAACAATCCCGTGCAGTAGGTACTGTTACCATCCTCGTTCTCAGAGAAGGAAACGGCACTAAGAGGTTGAGTGATGTGACCTCGGTCACATAACCACCTAGCGGCAGAGCCAGAACTTGAACCCAGGCTGGCCAGGATCCAGCCACAAGGTGTTTATCGCGAGGCAGTTCTGCCCCGATGGAGAAAATGGAATGAGTTTCTCACTAGGTCTTGAGCTCCATCACTGAGTTCTTGCTAAATAAAGGTGTTTCACCTTGCCGTGCCTCAGTTTCCTCATCTGTGGAGTGGGTTTCTGATGTGATGATTCATTTGTTCATTCCGTGAACATCTGTTCATTGAACACTTACTATGTGTCAGGCACTGGGGTGGACGGTGTGGTGTGTAATATACAAAAGAAACAATAACTCTTCCCCATGGTGATTATAATGCAGTTAGGGAGACAGGCAATAAAGAAAGTAAAGTAGATTATATATACTTGTGTGTGTGGTGTGTTAAGAGGTGATAAGGGCTTTAGAGAGGTATAAAATAAGGATAAAGGAAGGGGGAGTAGGTGGTGATCAGGAGGCCCTGAAATTGTAAACAAGGCGGCCAAGGATGGTCTCATGGAGAACTTGACATTTGAGCAAAGACTTGGAAGTCTCGAGGTGAGCCTAGAAATCCTCTGGATCCGGGTGGCAGGAACAGCCCATGCGAAGGGCCTGGGGTGTGGGGGCTGGTGTCGCTGGGCAGAGGGGGTAAGGGGGAGATGAGGGCAAGGAGGTGATGGGGGCAGACTGTGTGGGAGCTTGTGGGCCACAGTGAGGACTCTGCCTTTATTCTGAGTGAGGTGGAGCCCGAGGGGGGGGGCGGGCTCTGAGCAGGACAGGGACAGGACCTGACTCGGGTGCTCACCCCGACCTGGCTACTAGTGAGGAACAGACACCTGGGGAAAGAAGCAGGGAGACAGTGATGAGCCAGGTGGGAAGTGTACGAATGGGCAAGATTCCCCAAGGGAGTGAGTGGTGATGGAGAATACAGGAGGTTCAAATACCAGTCCCTGACGTTGCCAGATCAGAGGGAGGATGGACAGTCAAGGAGACTCAGCAGGAGCCACCAGGCAAACTCGGAGGGGTCCAGAGGTTGTGGGGCTTGGAGCCAAGTGAAGAGGGAATAACCCTCAATGGCAAGTGCTGCTCAACAGGTCCAGCAAGGTGAGGACTGAACTCTGACTTTGATTTAGCACCGAGGGGGTCACTGGTGACCTTGGCATGTCAGGGGGGCGAAGCCTGATTAGACAAGATTTAAAAGAGAACAGAAGTAGAAAATATGGAGGCAGAGACTGGAGACAGCTTTTTTGAGAAGTTTCACCATAAAGAGGAGCAAAGAGGGGTGCCTGGGTGATTCAGTCGGTTAAGCATCCTACTTCAGCTCAGGTCATGATCTCACGGTCCGTGGGTTCGAGGCCCACGTCGGGCTCTGTGCTGATGGCTCAGAGCCTGGAGCCTGCTTCAGATTCTGTGTCTCCTTCTCTCTCTCTGCCCCTCCCCTGCTCATGCTCTGTCTTTCTGTCTCTCAAAAATAAATAAACGTTAAAATTTTTTTTAAAGAAAAACATTTAAAAATTAAATTTAAAAAGAGAGAGAGAGAGAGAGGAGCAAAGAAATGGGGCCAGAGCTGAAAGGGGAGGTGAAGTGAAGAGAGGGTTTGTTTTCAGACGAGAGGGATGACTGTGTGGACTGCTGAGAATGATCCAGTGCGAAGGGGGAATCCAAGGCGTGGCAGAGAGTGAGGAGAACTTGAGACTGAGGCCTGGAATGAGCGGGAGGGGTGGGAGCAGGCTGAGCCGGGGGCTGGGGGTGGGGGCTGACGTTTGCAGGGCAATCAGAGGGGAAAGCACAGAGGCCACGGGGCAGGTAGCTGGTAGATTGGGTGATGGGTACGTGTGAAAGTTCACTTCTCATTGCTTGTATTTTTTTCTGCAAAATAAGAAAGCAAGGGGAAAGTGAAGAGGTGGAAGGCAGGGTGTGATAAGCTAGGCTAGCGCTGGGGGAGAAGGTGCGAAATAGTTATGTATAGAGAGGAGGAGCCTGGGCTGGCCCGTGTGGGTCAAGTTCACAACCTTGAAGTGAGACCAGCCAGTGGAGTTGTGTGTTCTTTGGCGACCTTAAAGTTGGGTAGGCAGGGGGCTGATTGAACCAAGGTCACGTGTCGGAGGAAGCCGGAGGCCAGGATGTATGCAAAGAATGTTTTTAACGAGTATCTGAGCAGTTTAAACTGGATAAGGAAGACACGAGGACTTGGGGGGATGAGGGGCAGTGAAAAGGATGTAGACACAAAGGATGGGGGAATCACAGTGGGCTGGAAGGATTGTGGGGGTCTGGGGCACTGGAAGGAAAGAGCTGGAGAGAGAAAGGGTGATGGTTGACAAGGAGATTGAGGTCTTGAAGAATCTGTGGTTATTGAGACAAGGTCTAGGTGTGACCATAGAAGGGAGAAGAGAGCAGGTCAGAGAACAGAGAGGCCGGTGGCCCAAGGAAGGATCATATACCTGGATGTGGAAATGACCAGGGATGTTGAGAAGAGCAGCGTGGGTGGCAGTGAGCCTGAAGCTAAAGTCATGAAGTGAGTAGTGATCTGGGTCAGCAGATGGTGCACAAGGCGGCCTAATGAACCGCCTATTCTGATGACACAGGAATCATAGCTGGGGAGTTTGAGGGGAGGATGGGAGAATGGTCTGGAAGTAGCACCAAGGAGCAAGATTCACCCATTTGGAAGGGTCACAGGAGAGCTGGGTTTTGGTGAGAGCAAGATGACAAGAATGTTCAGCGAAGAGAGCAAGGAAATGGGTTTTGCTGAAGACAGTTAAGAAGTTCCAAAGGCCCAAGGAGTTGGGAGCCGGCTGGGCGATGGGGGTGGAGATGGTTTCCTCCTCGGTGGGTTTTTCTGTGTGTTCGTGGTCATACACGTAAACTGACTAGCCTGACTCAAGTGCACCGGCCAGACATGGAAGCCGTGGTGAGCGGTAGTGGGGGTCATGGTCAGACCAGGGGTATTTTGCTCGAGGGGGAAAGGTGGGAAACCGATCGGCCCAGAGCCAATGAACGGTCAGGAAATAGGTACCCGGTTTTCACGGCCCTAGCAGTCCCCTGGTCCTCCACCGGAGCTGGTGGGGTCATGGTCAAGCTGCAGGGACCTTGCGTCCTGGGAGAGATGAAGGGAGGCCAAATTGCCCTGACCTGCTGACCCCTCTCGACCCGCAGGATTCCGGCGGCCTGAGATGGGCGCCCGGCCTTCACGGCGGCGGCTGCCCGCGGACCAGCCCATAGCCTTGGACGCGCTGCCCCCGGAGCTGCTCGTGCAGGTGCTGAGCCACGTGCCGCCGCGCGCATTAGTGACGCGCTGCCGCGCAGTGTGCCGCGCCTGGCGCGACGTGGTGGACGGGCCCACCGTGTGGCTGCTGCAGCTAGCCCGCGACCGCAGCGCCGAGGGCCGCGCACTCTACGCCGTGGCCCAGCGTTGCCCGCCCAACAACGAGGACGAGGAGTTCCCGCTCTGCGCCTTGGCGCGTTACTGCCTGCGCGCACCCCTCGGCCGCAACCTCATCTTCAACTCCTGCGGAGAGCGTGCGTGCCGGGGGCGGAGCCAGGGGCGGGGCCGGGGAGACCGGAGTGTTGGGGGGGGGGCCGAGCTTGGCTTAGTGGGCGTGGTCAGGATAATGAGGCAGGGCGGGGCCGGGCAGGCAGCCAGGGGGCGTGGCCGAGGGAAGAGGAGACTGGGAAACTGGCCAGGGTGGTGGGGGGAAAGAGATGGACTGGGGCGGGGGGTGGGGGCAGGTGCTGTGGGCAGTGAAGGAAGACGAACTGGATGGGCGAGAAAGCTGGAGGAGCCAAGAGTCGGGCCCCGGCAGGAATGACACGTGCTTGGACTGTAGATACAGTGGGCGGGGTTAAAGGGGGAGGAGCCGGGGAGGACTCGGGGAAAGCCAATTGGGTGGCTGGCGGGGGCGGAGCTTGCATGGAAATATGAGGCCGCATTGAGAGCCTGTGGGGAGGGGGAACTGAGCGAGTGGGCGGGCCCAAGGCAGGGGGAGCCAGGAGGCTGCCGTAAGAGGGGATGGGACCTTGATGGCAAGAGCCCGCAGTTAGGGAGAAGTCCAAGTGGGTAAATGAAGTAGATGAAGGGAGACAGAACTGGAGGCGGGGCCGAGTGGGGCTGAGGACGAGTTGAGTGGAAGGGCAGGGCTGAATGACGCGGTGGTAGGGTGGGAACAGGAATGCCCGCGTCTGGGAGGCGGGGCCAGAGTGGAAGAAACCGGGGGCGGAGCGCAGGAGGGAGGAGTCGATGGGCGGGGCAAGCTGAGCTGTGGCGGGCGGTCGGCTGGGCGAGCGGCAGGTGAATTCCTCGTCTTCAAGGTTGTTGTATCCCACAGAGGGCTTCAGAGGCTGGGAGGTGGAGCACGGCGGGAATGGCTGGGCCGTGGAAAAGAACCTAACACTGGTGCCGGGGGCTCCTTCCCAGACCTGCTTCGTGACTTCTTTCCAGTGAGTGGCCCCTGATCCCTGGGGCAAGGGCCCTGAGTTGGGAAGGGGACCCCACCTACATCCTCTCTTTCCCTCATTGATTTACTCAGTCAAATATTTGTTGAGGGCCTGCCAGTACCAGGCCCTGTTTTATATGCCAGAGAGATACCAGGAAAATTCAGAAATGCGGCGGGGGAGACATTAAACACATAAAACAGTGAAATAATAATGACAACAAAACGACAAACATTTACATATAACTCTTTGAATCCTGGCAACAGCCCTGTGACACAGATAGTATGATTATCTCCACTTTATAACAGGCACAAAACGTAGCCAACATCTAGTAAATGGCGGAGCTGAGATCTGGGCCCAGGTGGTCTGGCGCCAGAGCTTCTGATGGTGATAAGTTCTATGAAGACATCAGAACAGTTGACTGGTTGATTCTCTCTGTTCTCCTACCTCTTACCCATTTTCCTTGTTCCCTCCCCCCATATTCAACCATTCTCATGTGGCATCATCCAGCTCGCTAGTAGTTGCCAGTATATTGGGCATGAAGTGATGTCTCATTGACGTTTTAATTTGCATGTTTTGATTTACTAATAATTAAGCATCTCTCCAAGTGCTTGTTAGCCTTTTGGAATCCCTCTTTTGGAAATTGCCCATTCATCTTTTCTATTAGGGTTGATGTCTTATTCTTGTTATACGAGAATTCCTCGTATATTTTAGCCCCTTGTCCGTCCTGGCCGTCTACTATCTGTATCAACTGTGTCCCTGGTGTTCTTGGTTGTTATTTTCACATATCAAATGCATTGCTTTTTTGCTTTAGAATGTGTTTTTGAAATTTTGGGTAAAAAAAAAACAGTCCCTACCCAACAGTATTCTCTCATAGTCTCTTCTAGTAGCCTCATAGTTTTATCTTTCACGTTTAGATCTTTAATCCACCTTTGAATACGGCGTGCCGCTTCTATCGCTAACGAAGTTGCCAAATATACCTAGGTCTGTCCCCGAGCACTCTGTTCTCTTCCGCTACGCTATTTCTATTATGACGGCATGTTCAAATTAGGGGGGGACTGTTTACAGAGGGGTAGGCAGACCACAGGGGAGACTGCGTGAACCTTAGGCTAGTAACAGTGAGGGGAAGGGGCATTACCAGCCCTGGGCCTGACAAAGGTAAGGGGAGGACGCAGCTCCTAAACCTGAGACAGAGAAGGCTGTGAGGAGAGGGTCCCGTGGAGCTGTATCCTTTCATGAAGAGACGTAGCAGTCCCACGGTGATCCATTGGGAGGGAGCCAGGAGGCCACATAACCTGATTTTACTCTCCTCTCTCCCTTCCCTCCTGCTAGAGCTTCCCATCTGGGAGGTGGGACCCATCTGGGACCCAACAGGAAGGGGAGAGCAAGGGAGACCAGTCCACACAGGCAGTACACCCTCAGACTTGGGCCCCCGCACTTTAGGAGACTCCAGGATTGCCCGCTCAATGTTGAGCATCCATTTGTACTCCTGTCGCAGTTCCCACAAATGTTAGGGACATACAGGTCAGCCTGTATCCGGAGCCTAGAGCCTGGTGGAGAATGGTGGAGGGGATGTGAGAGGCCAATGGGATTGCCCAGCCCATCATATATCTTGTCTAGTAGAGCAAACCCCAAGGGAGGCTTCTTGGAGGAGGTGATTTCTGGGCTGTGACTTTCTGCCTCATCCCTACACCATCTCCTCTTTCCAGATGGTGCTTCAAGAGGCAGCTTGTGGACTTGGTGATGGAGGGGGTGTGGCAGGAGCTGCTGGACAGCGCCCAGATCGAGATCTGTGTGGCCGACTGGTGAGGAGAGAATGGCAACCTGCCCCAAGCGTCACCCGTGGTGGCAGCAGTCGCACAGAAGGGGTTCACCTGGGCCCCCATCAACCCCCTGGGCTGGCCACTGCTACTGTGCTCCTGGAGTGAGGCTGAGGTGGGGGGAAGTGATGCTCTCACAGTTGCAGAGGCAGGGAGGGGCAGGGTTTTGATGAGCCCAGAGCCCCCACTCTGCACTCTTCCCTGTCCCCCGTCAGCAGGCCCCAGGGTTGTTGACATGGGGGCCATTGGCTGGTGCCCCATCTCGCCCACTCCTCCCTCATCGCCCACACTCAGTACGGACCCTAAGGGTTTATGGACACCCAAGGCCCCAGGAATCTTTGGAGCACTGTGCCCTGAGAACTGAGACTCAGGGGGGCAGAGTTGGGATGGAGGCACTGGTTCCAGAGCACTCGGGCTCTTCCTTCAAGCTCTCAGTCCTCCATCAAAGTCTGGTTTCTTCCCTGGGGCTCTGGCTCCTCCCCAGAAATACCCAGGCTTCTCCTCCCCTGGGGGCGGTGGTTCCTCCCAGACACACACACACACACACACACACACACACACACACCACAAAGCCTCTAGAATCCACCCCAGGGGCACCCAGGCTCTTCCCCGCAAATTTCCAGGATTGATCTCTCCATGTGCAGGGTGGGTGTGTGCGACCCTCACCCAAGTGCAGGGAGGCTTAGTCCTCAGCCTCCCTCTCCCGGCCCCAGAGACCGGGTGGGTGGCGGGGACATCAAGGCTCACCACGACCTGGCAGGTGGGGTGCCCGCGAGAACTGTGGCTGCATCTACCGGCTCCGGGTCCGCCTCCTGGACGTGTACGAACACGAAGTGGTCAAGTTCTCGGCCTCCCCCAACCCGGTCCTTCAGTGGACTGAGAGAGGCTGCCGACAGGTGGGTCCAGACTGCCTTGTGCCAGACACAAGAGGCCACATCTTGTAGGAGTGCAGTTGTATGAAATGTCCAGAATAAGCAAATCCCTACAGAGAGAAAGCAGACAGACTAGCGATCGCCAAGGCTAGGGGAAGGGAGGGATTGGAAGTGACAGCTAACGGATATGAGGCTTCTTTCTGGGCTGATGGAAATGTTCCAGAATTGGATAGTGGTGATAGTTACATAACATTGTGAATATAGGTAAAAGCCACTAAATTGTGCAGTTGAAATGGTGCATTTTGTTAGGTGAATATTATCTCCGTAAAAAAGTTTCGCAAAGGATAAGAAGCGCCAGAAGCCAAAGATCTTCCATGGCCCACAAGGCCCCACGTGATCTGCCCCTTACCTCACTGACCCATCTCCTGTTCTCTCATTTGCTCCAGATACACTTCTACCCCAGGGCTTTTGCACTGACCGTTCCTCTGTTCCAAACACTCGTTGTCTGTGTCCTAATCCCCGCATGGCTCTCTCCCCTCCTTTGGGTTTCTGCTCTAGTGTTGCCTTAGTGATGCCTTTGCTCACTCACTTTACAACCCCACCCTCCTGCCTACCTTACCCTCTGCCTCTTACCCCCAGCTGTCTTCAGGGTCTGAGTCCCCGACTAGACTGTCAGGTTCACCAGGTTGTTCTTCGCTGCTGTAGCCCCAGCACCTAGAGCAGGGCCTGGTACCTACTTGATCCTTGGGGCGTGCCTGTTGAGGTGGAGGAAGGCGGGGCCCCACAGCTCCTCAACCTCCCGCTCTCCTTCCCCATACAGGTGTCTCATGTCTTCACCAACTTTGGCAAGGGCATCCGATACGTGTCTTTCGAGCAGTATGGGAGGGACACGCGTTCCTGGGTAGGGCACTACGGCGCCCTCGTGACCCACTCCAGTGTGAGGGTCAGGGTCCGCCTGTCCTAGCCGACCAGCCTGAGCCAGCCTTCCAGAGTGTACTGCCGTCTGCCAGACATCATCAGTCAAAGACAGCTTTGCAGTCGGGAGCCGGATGCCTGTGGACAGTGAGGGTCCCATGTGGCCCATTCCTGGCACACCTCCAGTGAACCCCACTTGCTGCTTCAGCATGGTATCACACATGCTGTGTAAGAAACCAGGGATCTAGGGCGCCTGGGTGGCTCAGTAGGTTGAGTGTCTGCCTCTTGATCTCAGCTCAAGACGTGACCTCGTGGTTTGTGAGATCGAGCCCTGTGTCGGGTTCCGTGCGGACAGTGCAGAGCCTGCTTGGGATTCTCTCTCCCTCTCTCTGCCCTCCCCTCGCTCATGCTCTCTCTCTCAAAATAAATAAAATAAAAAAGAAAGAAACAAAAAGAAACCAGAGGTCCAACAAGACTGCTCACAGCTTTCTGGGGTAGAGGGTGGGGAGTCAGGGGGTAATCAGAGAGGTTTCCTTTGCAAATTCTTTGCTTAGATACGTGGACATCAGTTGGTAGCCGGGGTCAAAAAACAGGCCAAACCAGGATTTCTAATCGTAGGGAAAGCTGCTGACCGTCTGGGGTAAGCCAATCGCTGGCAGGGAGTTGGGAGTCAGGGTGGTCTGTCCTTGAGGTGACCAACAGGGATATCAAAAGGAACCCTTTCTGTGGTTTTGGGAGTCTCTGGGGTTCAGCTGTGGGGCCCTGGGCAACCTCTGTGGGCACCACCCATCGGCACCTGCCCTTTGGACCAGGCTGAGTCTGGTCTGAAACTTTCAGACCAGTCCAGACCAGTCCAGACCACGCCCCCCACCCCGCCTCCTACCTCAGGCGCAGCTCCCCTCCTGCGGGGTAACATACCACTGGAGCCAGTGTGCCACAAGGGAAAGCGCGCCTGCCAGCCTCCCCTCGTGTCTCCTGCCATCTCCCCGGCTGGGCACAGCCAACACCCTGGCTCCATAAAATTGGTGCGAAACGTGAAGTGATGGGGGACCACTGTCTGTAGTCAATGCCCCGTCTGCCCCCAGCCCTGATCCTAAGAGGCCTTGTGGGATATTTCCAGCCGTGAGAACTTCAGGAGGTATGCTAAGCTCCATGCAGGCCCTGTTCTTTAGTCCAGGAGGAAACAGGCTCAGAGCTTACATGACCTGCCCAAGGTCACCTGGGCAGTAAGCAGGGAAGGCAGGACTTGCACAGAGCCGTGAGAAGGACGACTCCCAAATCTTAAAGTCGAACATGGTCAAGCGCGTGATCAGGTGAGGTCAGTATCACTCCCGGTGCCATTTCCTGAGGGAGGAAACTGAGGCCCAGCGCGGGAACAGCGCGAAGTCACAGAACAAGGAGGGAGAGGCAGGATTCGGATCCAGGTGGGTGTTGAGTCTGAAAATAACCTAGGAGAGCAGCTCCCATGTGGGCAGCAGCGCATCCCGACCGATCCTTTCAATGCCCCTTCCACAGAGGGGGAAGCTCGAGGGCCGGGCTCTCTTTGCACAGATCCTGGGCCTGCGGGGAAGGGAACAAGGTGGACCCAGCGCTGCCTACCAGCAGCTTAAAGTAGGGGAGCATGTGTTATGCACTTAGAGCATTGAATTTATACCAAGAAGGGGGATATGTGAGTGGAGCTATTTTCTGGAGGAAATCGAGGCCCACGGGGGATGTCACAGGCTTAATACCACGCAGAGGGTAAATACCGTGCAGGAGGGTTCACATCACAATCATGGGGGTAGGGGCGTTTTTTATTGCCATTCCTCCCCAGCAGATGGCAGTACAGAGCCAGGGCCTTATCCCAACAGAAGAGGCCCCCCCCCCCCCC